GCAAGTTGTTTATTTATCATTGATATAATTTTATTAACGTTGTACATAAAAAGAGGTTATGATGGACGAAGTTTCATATGAATTTCTTCTTTGTCGATCTTTTCATAATTTATATATCTTTTATTGCTACAGGTAATTGTCCAGTGCACCTCGATATGACATCTGAAAATCTAGCATCTTTCAATCTACAAGTAAAAATAAATTCCTCAGGCAAGTTCTTTTTATTTTATTAACCTCTATTTTACTAAGTATTATATATGAGACTATTTTATTCACGATAAATCTCTAAGGATTAAATACTTATTGAATAGGTAAGACTCAAGAAACAGAAACACTATTGTCTAATGAGCAGCTCACTGTGAACTACGAGAATGAAAGTTCACAAAGTCAACAGCTTACTGACATCTCGAGCAAGAAAAAAAGTACGCTTACTTTTTAATTGTAATCCCACCTTTTCATATGTCACTTTATTATTAATTCTTATATCACTTTATTATTAATTTTTATTTCTTATAGGTATAGGTGCAACATCATGGAAAGATAATCATGCTGTCAAAACCCTCATTGAAGAGTGGAGGGAACATGAAAACTATTTCAAGAGCACTACTATTACTAATAAAAAAGTCTGGGAAATGATAGCTAGTACATTGAAAAAAGAGAATCCACTCTGGAACTACACTGGTCAGCAGTGTGAGGATAAATTCAAAGACCTTAGGAAGCATTATATAAAAGCTAGGGACCAAAATGAAAAAAGCAGTGGCCTTCCAGTTGCTACCTGCAAATTTTATAAAGAGATGGATGATGTTCTTGGTGATAAACCAGCTGTGAAACCTGTATGCATAGCTTCAACATTAAAAAAACGTTATCAACCTGATTCCCAGGACTCTTCAAGCACAGCTTCTGCAACTTTACACAGTAATAGTGAAAATGACAGTGATCGTGATTATGATTGTTCCCCTAAATTTAAAAAGAAAAAGAAAAGTGTTACTGAAAGAAATCTCGAAAGACTACTTGCTATTAGAACAGAGGAATCTAAAAAAAAGGAAGAGGCTCAACAGAAAAGGCATATTGAACGAATGCAGCGTCAAGATCATGCAATTGAAATTTATCAAAGTGCAATGAACAGACTATTAGAAAAGTTGTAGTTAGAGAAGTTATAAGTAATGCAAGAAGTAGAGAATAGAGAAGTAATGCAGTTTTTCCCTGTTTTCACCAATATATATCACTTTTTAAAATTATTTTATTTTTTTCGAGTTTCTGTTGTGATTAAAACACTTAATACTTTCGTTGGGTATCAGAGATCTATGTTTAAAGATAAAATTCATGATATATGATTTCACTTATTTGCTACAATTCTTAAGTATATATTCATAAGATATATTCATATTCATAAGATTATGCACATATTCTTTGTTTTGTTTCTGATACTTAATATTAAGCATTAATATTTTAGTATAAGTTCTGAAGTTCTAATATAAATTTTGAAGTTAACTTCACATAATTATGTAACTTTAAGGTTTTTTTTCAAGATTTCTAGTCCTACTTCAAATATTTATTTTTATACATCTAAGATATGAGATATTAATGTTATTGATTTAATAGAGTAGAGAATAGAGATTATGTAATAATAAGGATAATAAGGATATACCAAGGGTAGAGAACATTGAATATTGTTTATGTTGTCAACTAAAACACTAATTTAATTAATAATTCAGTCACGTTTTTAAAAATATATTTTTTGAGAGAGAGAGAGAGAGAGAGAGAGAGAGAGAGAGAGAGAGAGAGAGAAAGAATACAATTACATGATTTAATAAATAAAAATGTTCTATTATAAATATTTATACTTTAATTTAATTACCTTATTCTTTAGCAGGAAACTTTATATGATTATTTACTAAACATATTAAACATACGTAGTCAGTATTATGTTATTATCACACAAGAGTTACTAAATAATTTCTTTTTGCCACACCAGCATCATTTTCATCTGCCTCTAATATATTTTGAACAGCATGGACTTCATTTTCCTGGCCTTCTAGGATATATTCTTCTATGTCATCATCAAGTCCTTCAAGGCAAATATTGTGAAGAACTGTACAAGTAATTATCACAAAAGGGATTATGTCTATTCTATTCATATCAAGATATTTCAGTCTTCGAAATCGTCCTTTCAATAACGCAAATGCTCGTTCAATGACTTGCCTTACTTTGACAACACGTCATTAAATCTCTTTTGAGCCTGCAAAAGACAAATGCCTTGATAATTTTATGGATCAAATATGAGTAGAAAATTAAGAAAATGTTTACCGTATAAGGAAAACTTAAAAATGAAAAACTAATATGTTTCTTTAGATATAAATACTAAATATACTAAGTATGTTTTTATCGCAGTAAGACTGCCACGATCACGAAAACCAGAAATACACCAAGTAATATAGGGTAAACCTTGTCACCAGTAATGTATTCTTCATTAGGAAAATACAACAGTCTATTTGTCTGCACTTCTGACCATAGATCAGAATTTCTGAATACTTTTATGTCACCAACAGATCCTGGATAACCAGCAAAACAATCCAAAAATGCCATCTCAGAATCACATATAGCCTGAAGTATAACGGTGTAATTTTTCTTGTATGTCTTATAGGACAGACAGTCTTTCTGTAAAAGAATCATGGCAAATTTTAACATTGTAAATCCGATATTCAGAGACATCACATGTTTATTTTAATTTTAAGCAAACTCATTAATTTTTCTGTATAAAATCATATCATGAGAATATTGAATAAACCCATCAAAAGAAGAACTTGTATTGTCTCTTAAAACAAAAAACTTACATATGGCTTTTTTATGGAAATGTGAATACCATCTATAGCTCCAATTATATCAGGTAGCACTGACAACCTCTGAAATTTCTGTTTCACTATTGCTAATCTTTTCTCTCTTGGCCATTATACAATGTCCCCAACAATATTATTCAAGGCTTGTATAATCCTCATAAAACTGACATTCAATGAACTTTTGCTCATGTCGAACCTTTCTCCTACAGATCTAAAACAAATAAATAAATGATTATTCATAAGCAAGATTTACAATCAAACACCTTCCAATTTTCATGGTCATAAATTATATAAACATAACATACTTTAAAATTTATGATTGCAAAGTCATCATTATTTCTTTAGAAAAATATCTTAAGAGGAATATACTTGTAAGAATCTGGTATAGCTAACAACCAAAGGGTTGCAAGCAATTGTTTTCTAACTGGTATGTGACGTTTTATCCCGACATCTTCTTGTAAAGCTGGTGCCAATTTCTGTTCGAGCTGATTGTATGTTGTAAGAGTTATGCGAAAATGTTTCCTGAACTGTTCGCGATTAAGTTGCGGGATTGTACGTTCCACATAACCTCCAATTCTTGCAGGTTTGCGTTGAGGTCCTCACAATTGCAAATGTATTTGTATATCTAACTTTCCGTCAGACACGTCACTATTACTACTGTCACTGTCACTTTCCATTATCTTTTGTAAAAAGTTATTACTAATAGTAACAGCTAATGCTACAATTGCTCGATGATCCATCTTGAATAAAGTTAATGTTTGTCGTTGTACTTTTTCTTTTTGGCACCTTCACATGACCCCTAAGTGCGTTCATATTCTTCAGTCTACCGATATCACCCGACAATAGCCCCGCCTACTCCCGGTCTACCTTACCCGCATTCGACAGGTGAGATATCTGAACGCACTCCAGTAGAGGATATACCGCTGTTCGAAGCTCCACGGGGGGGGGGGGGAGCCGGTCAGGGCCGTCGCCGCCCTGTACGAAATGGTACGGTACCTCCGAATCGCCCTCACCACCACCGAGCGCGTTGCCTGGTGCAAAAGCGCCTTGCTGCGCTCGGAGGCCATAAGCCGGGATGCCCATATGGGCACCCCGTAGAGGGCGATCGAGAGCACCACACCGACGTAAAGACGGCGAGCTTGCCATCCGGGGACCCCCTGGGTCTTCATAAGGCCAGCCAACGCCAACCCTGCCTTTCGGACCCGGGCAGCCAGGCCCTTGAAATGGGCCCCGAAATCCCACCGGCCGTCCAGCGTCAGGCACAAATACTTGATCGTGGGCCCAACGCGGACGCGGATTCCATTCACCCGGACCCGAGTCTTCGGCGGCGCCCCGCGGCGGCCATCGTGAAAATAGACGGCCTCCGTTTTCCGGGGCGCCAAACTTGAGTCACAGGCCCGTGATGGTGCCCACCACGAAGTGCAGTGCCACCTCTGCTCGGAGGCGGGCTTCCCCCCAGTCCCTTCCCCCGGCTACCTCTAACGTGTCATGCGTATAGCAGATGACGTGGCAGCCGGGGAAAAGGGGAGAGCGCAGTACCCGGTCAAACGCGATGTCCCACAGCAGGGGGCCGAGGACCGACCTCTGCGGGACACCACGCTCCATGGCGCGCCGACTCTGGACCCCGCCTTTCCCCGAGTAGGCGAGGTCCCTGCCCTCGAAGTAGGCCGACAGGATCACGGGGTGCCCGCCGGAGATAGGCGGGCACCCCGTGATACTCGAAAGCCCGCCCGACCGCCGGCCAGGGTAGGGTATTGAAGGCATTTGTGATGTCGAGAGACACCGCCAACCACACCTCGCCCTCCCTCTCCACGATCACCCGAGTCAGGTCCCGGAGTCGCTGGACCGCATCCAGCGTAGACCTCCCGGGCCTGAACTCGTATTGGTGGTCGTGGAGGTTCGGCCCCTTCAGGGACAGATGCTGGACGAGGCAGTCGACAATAATGTTCTCCAGCATCTTGCCCGCCTCGTCCAGCAGGCATATCGGCCTAAAGATCGGCGCGCTACCGGGTACCTTGCTGTCCTTTGGGAGAAGGACCAACTTGGCTCCTCCTCCACTCTGGGAGGAAGACCCCCTCCCTGAGGCACCCATTGATCGTGTCCCGCGTGGCTGTGGACAGGCTCTTTTCGCCAAGGGCAAGAGTCCAGGAACGGCCAGGAATGCTATGGGGGCCAGGCGCTTTGCCTTTGGCCCCGAGTCTCTTCCTGGCCATGGTGAACTCCTCCGGAGAGACCTCCAGGCCTCCTGAATCTCAGAAGCAGGGATCTTGGGGGGCCCCCTTCCACTTTCGGGAAGAGAGTGGCCAGGAGCCCCTCGAGGGCCTGGGGGTCCAAGGCCCACGGGCGGATCTTTCCAATCGTCCGTTTGTAGGGGCGCCCCCATGGATCCTCGTCCAGGAAGTTCACCATCTTCTCCCAGGCTCCCTTCTTCACCTCGACGATGGCGGCCTTAAAGGCTTTCGTCGCTTCGAGGTAGCCCTCTTTTTCTCTCGCGGCTTCCCTGTCGCGTCGCCGGGCCCGGAAATAATCCCGTCTGGCTTGAACAGCGGCCTCCCGAAGATCGGAAAGGGCCGCCGTCCACCAGTATACAGCCCGGCGCTAGCGGGGATGGGGCCGGGGCATCGCGGCTTCGCATATCGACGCCACGATGCGCACCAGCTCCCTAGCCCCCTTCTGAAGGCTAGGGTCCCACGCACCTGGTGCGTCGAGGTGCCAGGTGGCCACAAGGGCGGCCGCCTGGAACCTGTCCTCATCCAGTTGACTGATGGCCTACCTTCTGGGGAGGGGAAAGTTTCCCTCCCCAGGGCAGCGGTCCAGCACCTGCGGAAGATCGGGGAGACCGAGAAACCACACGATATATCTGTGGTCGGATAGTGTTTCGCTCTCGGTCTCCACCGACCACTCCCAGAACATCGAGGCGGCCGAAGGGGAAGCCTACGTCAAGTCAATGACGGACTCCCCGTTCGGCCGCACGTAGGTACCGGTTAACCCCCTGTTCATCAACAGGAGGTCCAGACCCGCCGCCCAGTCAATCAGGGCCTCGCCCCGGGAATCCTCCTGCCGAGGATCGCAACCCCACTCCGTGGAGTGGGCGTTGGAATCTTCGGCAAGTACGATGGGTCGGGGATAGCACTGTCGTGCCACATCCCCGACCCGGTCTAGGATCCCCTTGATGTGGGCAAGTTTGCCCAGACCGATTCTATTATGGCGGTGGGGGAGATATACCTCCACCACCATGATGGGCCCCCAATCAACTCAATCAATTCAATGCCACGTAGAAGTCCCCCTCTGCCCTGAGTTTACAGGGGAGACCCCTTTGCGGATCGGGCCACAATAGCCACGGAGCCGCACCGGCTCCTGTACCAACAAGAGCTGTTGACCGGGATCCAGTACGCTCCGTTGCCAACCCCAGCCCGGCGCCCAGCTCAGTTACTCTGTTCGACTATAGCTCCTGAGCCCGGGCGCCGCGGCCGAGGTTAGCCTGTAGGACCCGGAGTGACGTGAAGGCTAAGCCTTTCACGTTAGTCTTTCTCCGTTAGATAGTGCTACAGGTAGTGATGCCAGACAGATAGGAATGCGGCTTTGCAAGCAGCTGTTTATATGATGAATGATGACATATATAGGTTAGGATCCCTTTGGATGCTTTCGTATTGATTCATATTGTTAAAATATTTGTTAATCATTATTATTTATTCAAGAGACACGATAGTGTCCCAAGTGCACATAGGAGCGAGGCAGTTTTATATGTGAGATACACAGATCCATTTTTTGACTTACAAGGAGAGTGTCAACTGTCCCTCACCGATTTGAATGGGCTTCGGATATGTTGTAGAGCATCAAAAACTAAGGGATAAATATTTTTTTATATCGGCTTCGGAGCATGTTTAGGGGGTGAAACCACCTCTTGAAAGAAATAGCCGTTATCGTTTTTATCAAATATTTTCTAAATTATAAGTCATATGAAAAAAAGTTTCAGACAAAAGTTTTGCAATATTTTATGCTCTTTGCAATCATGTGTTCAGTTTTTTAAAATTTCAAATGTTGAACTACTCCCCCTCTCGTTACTCTGGCAAAATTTTTAAGTTTTTGTAAGGACAAAAATTGTAGAGCGTTAAATACCAAATCCATCCATATATAATATTAGAAAATAGTATTTAATATTTTGGACAAAACGCAATGAGAAAACTTCATGGTATATGTGTCGCTCTGCTTGAGTAGATAGATACTGTAGGTAGATACGCTGTGATATTTCTCTGCAATTGCACTATGTTTCACGACTGCTTGTGCATATTTTCTTATGCTATAATTAATCGTAATGATATAATATAGTATATACAATATTACACGAAATAAAAATACTTGATGAAAACATGAACAATAGAATAATTTGCATATATAACAGTAGCAAATGTGTGTGCAGCATCGCTATTTGTACAAAAGCTCCAAATGTATATTTTCTTCATTTAATGTGTAAAGTTTATGTTCACTACAATCTGAAAGGTATGTCAATTAAGGATAATTAAAATGATTATAAAAGTATTTCATGCAATGCACATGAAATAATGAAACACATTATCATCAGCCTAATTAGAAAACCTCCTAACTTCAATTTTTGACAAAATTAAGATACTCATTTTATTCGATTTATCTCGTCGACTTTGATTGAATAAAATGAGTCTCAATTTCGTCAAAAATTGGAATTAAGAAGTTTTCTATTTAGGCCGACGTTATGTTACCTCTGCAAGCGTATAGTATGATAATACAATATATTTTATTAATTGCTGAATGAAACATAACGAAGGGCTTAACAAAAATTATGGAGTAATAATTTATAGGATAAGATTTATAGGATAGGATAGAGGAACAATACAATAAATTATAGAAGAATAACACGTTATTATATATATTTCACAATAGTAATAAACAAATCAATACAGTATTTGCATATAAACGAAAAATAAATGTTACATTTATGGCACATATTCGTTGCAAAGGTGGTGATCATAGAAAAAATGTGTGATACAAAGTGATTTTTTGCACCAAGAGCAAATAATTATGGCAGTTTCGCCAGAAATATCGCATTTTATTTTAGAATCATTTTGGAAACAAAACTCAACCTATGTTTCGAATTTGCCTGGCCTACTCTGTAAATATCCACTTTTAAACCACGCATATTTAAATAAATTGTGAAACCTGGGTGACGAGAATTGATGGTGCGTTAATGACTGCAGTTTTAAAATATTGTTTCTAACATGAAGATCAATTGCAAGGTCTAATAGCATTACAATATCAGAAAAATGTTTAATAAAATTTTTCCATAATCGAAAGCCATATATATTTAATGGTTGTATTTTTCCCGTTGTACCAGCCGGAATGGTTAGGAAAACAATATCTGATGCAAAATCCGATCTAGTTTCCTGAATTACATTGGGACAATGTCCACTCCATGAATCTAATAATAATACGGTTCGACATTCGGAAAAAATATTTCTCTCAACCAGGTTTTCATATAATCTGATGTCATTTTACCTGATTTGGAAGCCATTATAAAAATATTAGGAATATTGAATAAATTTTCCTGTACTCGTGGACCGAATGTTCCTGTTAGTTCTTTTAATACAATTAACAGAGGCGACAATAATCTACCATCAGCGGAAATAGTTAGCTGTATGGTATAACTATGCGTGGTTGCTGATACAGATTGCACTATGGATTCTATTTTCTTTGTCCCTTTTTGTGCTAAGGTACGACCGGTGTGAAGTTCTAATTGGAACCTACTCTGATCTCAATTGTAGTTATTTTCCACCCCGTATCGATCAATATAATATTTGACATTTGTAATAAATGTATCGCATTTATTTTCTAACTCTGATTTGGATAACAAGGATTTTTTCGTGACAAATTTGGTTATTTTCGTAGACACAATATTATGTTTCTTTTTGAATCTTTGTACTCAGCTAGGTGATACTATGAATCCAGGCATATTTTCCTCTTCTTGTGCTCCATTAGCCCATCGAGCAATGTTAATATCATGAATAATGACTCCTTTTTCAAGTGCTTCAGCGAAACGGTTTAGTGTATATTCAGAAATTGCTTTTAATTTTTCATTTCTGCTACCACCTGCATTGATATAGTCCTCCCATCGTCGTAAATGTCGAATTGATGTAACTTTTTTGTACCTTCGTCTAACTCCTTCAATCGTTCTTGGTCTTATTTTACCACTCTTCTAGAATTCTACAGCTTTCCTTTTATAGTCACTTGATATTTCTGCTTCAACATCAGTACAAATAACTTCTTCTGGAAGATAATCGTCATCTTCATCATGCTCCGCATCTGCATCATGCCAACAAATCAACTCTTTCCGCCTGTGGGATCTTATTTGTATTATAGAAATCAAATGTTTTCTCCTCTTCTATTAGAATGTCCATTTTATTTTCCATGTCTGTGAGCATATTTACAATCTTCTCCTTCACTTCCATTTCTTCCGAAGTTACCGGAGTTTGTAGAAGGTTACGAGCAGTGAATGTTGCGTATAGCAACAGTATAACATTCTATGAGTTAAATGGAATCATTCTACAAAATATTAAAATTTAACTATTGTTTAATGCTGCTCCGGTCTTCCGTATATTATAATATTAATAACTCCACAAAGTGTATAATAATTTAAATAATATAAATATGAAGAGTGACAAGCGTAAGACAATAATACAATACAATAAATACTTACATAATTTCACAAAATTATAGTGTATAATACATTTCTTTACACTATGAACTCATGAAATGAACTGCCCGTTCTTAAATATTACATAGACATTTTTATTGCATTTTTATCTGCATAGTGCAATATGATCAGATGAGCCAATTATAGTGCGCATGACGATCACATGAGTCTGTTTCATGCAAAACGAAAACAAAATTTATTTATAGAAATAAAGTATAAATAAATTGTTTTTGATGCACTGCAACACAGTTGACTTTGCTTTGTATACACGGCATTATAAATGCTTAGAAATAAATGTACAACTTATAATTATATATAATTTATAATTATATATAATTATATATAAAATATGTTCGCATATTATTATACATAAAGATATAAAATTATATATAAATTGTCATATATAATTACACATATTTATATATAAGTTGATATAATTTATATATGAGATTATATATATAACCATATATAATTATGTCAAATTAAATATTATTTTATTTAATTATATTTAAACCATTTCCCGAATGATAGGGGAACTTGGGGTATAATGAGACCACGGGGCATAATGGAGTATGGTCGAAAACTTTTTACGGAGATGCTGTCATGCAATAAAACGTTTTGCCATTATTACTGTTAAATGTCTCTTATCATATACCATTATTAATTGTCATATTATTTTTAGTTGAAAGATGCTACAAATTGTTTAATGCGTTTGCTACGTTCTCCGCATCTCTACTACAATTTGCTACGTATATTTACACAAGTTAAACTATGACAAAATTCTTTTTTCATTTTCGTATGAACATTAACGTTATTAAACCATCTTTTCTCATCATTTTAATCAAATTCCTGTACAAACACCGATTATCTTTAACGTTTCATATTACATAATCCAAACTTACACATGTCTGGGCATAATGAGATTATACCATTATGTTCTTAAAACATTAAGGTATATTATTTCTGATCGTATGCTTGTTTTATTTTATATAATGAATTATATATATTTTTTATATATTATATATATTTTATATAATGAATACGAAATATAAAAGCTGGACGCTAGTCAGCTGAAAGCTGGACGCTACCCAGCTGAAAGCTGAAAGTTTGACGCCAGCCAGCTGAAAGATAGAAGCTTGACGTTTCAAATTTTAGGGGATAATTTTTTTGTTAGCAATTTATTTCTGTCAAATTAATGACCGAATACGTTTTCATACTTGATTCAATAATTTTTATTAATATTATATAAAACATTTTTTAGTTTAGTTATACGCGCTTTACAATTGCCGTTAAAATTTTACAGGCCTCTAATTGTATATATAATTGTCAATCTTAAATTTCATAATATATTATTAAATTATATCATGCGCTAAATAGGTGAAATCATATTTGATAACATTTAAGCGATAATATAAAATTCATTCACACACATACATAATAATGTCTTACAATAAACATATTAATATATCTAGTTAACATTTTTTAAATTTTGTATTATATTATCAAGATATTC